GGCGGTCTAGCCGAATTAAGATTTGATAACTCGTAGCTGGCGAAACTAGCTGGCCATTTTTGTAAACATTTCCGTTTCTCGGGAGTAAAAAACGAGCTGGGTAAATGTGATCTTGTCAAGAAATCGTTTTTCACGAGCATTGGCTTGCGAGAATAACACCGAGTGATTGAATATTGAATGCAGAAACTTCCATCGTTCTGCTTTCTGTAGATAAAAATCGGAAGTTATCAGCCAAGAAATTAAAATCTAATGTCATACAAAACATTCAGTAGACAGCCAAGTAATAAGTTGTTATTGGGACCTTCTTATCTGAACACCAGGACAGAATACTGAAATGCCGATCGATGGCCTCTATATGACCTTGAAAGTCGTCTCTTTTTCAAAAGTACTACATATTTTCACTGACAGCAGAACTATGTACAAACAATATAAGGTAGTGATAGTTAACTTTATATATTTGCCTCACAAATATAAGCTTTCTCAAGACCTCCGGGTTCGCCGAGTTTGCAGCAGAGCACCTGCCTTTTCTACGAAATCTCTGCAGAACGGGACCAAAGGTGTGACAAGATTAGAAGATTATGTTGGAAAATACTTGGTCGCCATATTTTATCCTTCGAACTTGTAGGTTTTTTTAAACGAATTACTGCCAACAATTACAGACATGTTTTCCTTTATTTTGAGGAAACTTTGGGTAAATTTGAGGGTTTTCGCTAAAGTTGTAAAAATATGGTAGCTTTCACCAAGGTTTCTGGAATGTTTTGGGAAAAACCCTAAAATGTTATAAGATCTTGCGGAAATGTTTGAAAAAACTCAATATTTCTCCAAACACTTTGAGGATTGACCACAGACCTGGAGAAATTTCGAGGTTTTTATACCATCTTTTCGAAAGACCTCCAAATTTCTTTATTTTGGCTTCTTCGAAATTTACTCTAAACAGGCAGAATGTCCTTCAAAATAGGGAGATTGGGATGTTACCAATTTCTGTACAATAGTATGTATATATATTTAGGGTATACGAGATAATTAGGCAATATTGTTTATTTAGTTTTTCGTGTAAGACGTTGCAGTTATTGGCCGCCTCACTGGAAATGCGAGATCTGTCTGTGCGTTTGTTCTGCTCTGATTTTTAGCCTTAATTTTATGGTCTAGTGAAAGATTGATCCTAGACAGAGCTAAACTACTATATAACATTCATTTAAGATACAAAACGTCAGCATGACACTACTTTAGGTTTTAAAATAAGATAAGGGGAGGAGACTTGAATGTTTTTATGTTCGCCATAGAATGGCTTGGAACGTCTTAGCACTCAAATTATTCACTCGTTGAACTCACCCAAGTGTATTAACTTTCGCGTTGAGACACAGTGAAGCAGACCGATGCAGAATCTGAGGTGAGGTATCAAGCTGATGGAGAATATAATCGGAAACACTTATTCATCAATGGACTTGAAGACTTTGAGTAGTGCCCACAGCGCTAGAAAACGTTTATTAGTCACTGCTTTAGAACGTTCACTAGTTTATAATTTATGGCTTATCATTACTGATTATTACGGGTCTTTAGCCTTACAGTATTCAAAAGAAGACACAGTACATAAAACAAGACTCCGTGGTCGGGCAACGTCTGAGAATTCAGCCTAGAAACTTCCATCACATCGGTATTTTTACTAGGGTTTTACTTTCGTCTTAACAAGCTCTCCACATATCTTCATCTAATTATTACGTTCAGAGACAATGTAGTTCGAATATCAATCTATTCCTGAGCGTCAATTTCACTGGAAGAGCGAGCTCTCTTTGAAGATCACGTGAATCACCCTTGTATTTGAATACTTTTCAACATTTCTCACTGTCTCGGTGGATGAAAACTGGGTATTTTGTGTCTACTGAGGGATTGCAGATAAATTTTAGGAATAATAGTGGGCAGAGTTTGGTACATAGTGAAACTCGAGTTTCAATAATAAACTTGGCCTTACTTATTCAACGTCTGGAACCGTCTGTGAAGTATCAGACGATCATGGACCAAGTCATCTAGTACGGAATGAACCAAAATGAATGAGTGAAAGCCAAAAAAATAAATTGTCGATGCTTTCAAACAAAATGATAGCATAATAAAATAATAGCATTGTCCCAGAACGGTTGGCGGTCTAGCCGAATTAAGATTTGATAACTCGTAGCTGGCGAAACTAGCTGGCCATTTTTGTAAACATTTCCGTTTCTCGGGAGTAAAAAACGAGCTGGGTAAATGTGATCTTGTCAAGAAATCGTTTTTCACGAGCATTGGCTTGCGAGAATAACACCGAGTGATTGAATATTGAATGCAGAAACTTCCATCGTTCTGCTTTCTGTAGATAAAAATCGGAAGTTATCAGCCAAGAAATTAAAATCTAATGTCATACAAAACATTCAGTAGACAGCCAAGTAATAAGTTGTTATTGGGACCTTCTTATCTGAACACCAGGACAGAATACTGAAATGCCGATCGATGGCCTCTATATGACCTTGAAAGTCGTCTCTTTTGCAAAAGTACTACATATTTTCACTGACAGCAGAACTATGTACAAACAATATAAGGTAGTGATAGTTAACTTTATATATTTGCCTCACAAATATAAGCTTTCTCAAGACCTCCGGGTTCGCCGAGTTTGCAGCAGAGCACCTGCCTTTTCTACGAAATCTCTGCAGAACGGGACCAAAGGTGTGACAAGATTAGAAGATTATGTTGGAAAATACTTGGTCGCCATATTTTATCCTTCGAACTTGTAGGTTTTTTTAAACGAATTACTGCCAACAATTACAGACATGTTTTCCTTTATTTTGAGGAAACTTTGGGTAAATTTGAGGGTTTTCGCTAAAGTTGTAAAAATATGGTAGCTTTCACCAAGGTTTCTGGAATGTTTTGGGAAAAACCCTAAAATGTTATAAGATCTTGCGGAAATGTTTGAAAAAACTCAATATTTCTCCAAACACTTTGAGGATTGACCACAGACCTGGGGAAATTTCGAGGTTTTTATACCATCTTTTCAAAAGACCTCCAAATTTCTTTATTTTGGCTTCTTCGAAATTTACTCTAAACAGGCAGAATGTCCTTCAAAATAGGGAGATTGGGATGTTACCAATTTCTGTACAATAGTATGTATATATATTTAGGGTATACGAGATAATTAGGCAATATTGTTTATTTAGTTTTTCGTGTAAGACGTTGCAGTTATTGGCCGCCTCACTGGAAATGCGAGATCTGTCTGTGCGTTTGTTCTGCTCTGATTTTTAGCCTTAATTTTATGGTCTAGTGAAAGATTGATCCTAGACAGAGCCTCCCGAACTAATGATAGGAAGTGAAGTAGTTGAGCGTGTCGACCTCTTCACTTATCTTGGGAGTCTCATCAGCCCTTGTGGTCTGGTGTGTGATGAAATCTCAGCATGGATACGGAAGGCTCGACTAGCTTTTGCAAACTTGCGTCATTTATAGCGTAGGCGAGACATCCGTAGGTTACTAGTATTTGATCATAGGTGTCTTCGAAACATTGCTCGTATATCCTGGGACCATCGAGTAAGTAACGCAGTTGTTAGGAAAAGGGTACTAGGTAAGGATGGCAAATCAATTGACGAAGTAGTGAAACTTCATCAGTTGAGATGGCTGGGACACATATTACGTATGCCCAATCACCGACTGCCTCGACGAGCGATGTTTTGTGGTGTAGGAATAGTTTGGAAGAAAGCTAGAGCGGCCAGACAGAACATAGCACGAGTCCATGAAGTCACTGACAAGTGGACTGAGTCATGTTGGTAGGTGTAGACTACCTGGTGGGGGACCGAGAGATGATAGCAACCGATGGTTAAAGACCCTGAATGACATGGCTCAAAATCGTTTGCAATGGCGCAGTTGTATCCACTCTTTGTGTTCTCCCAAATTCTAATCTCCTGAATCCTCCTTGTCTCTTTTTCTCTTTCCCAATTTATTTCACTGGCTTATACTCTTTAAATAACATCTTCAAACCCTAATGTTTCCGATTACTGCTTATAATATTCCTGCCTCTACCAGTACGGGATTTGAATCGACAACTGCATCTCTGTGCTAATGTGGTGTGGCAACTCGAACTGACGTTTGTACGTACGAAGTTCTACGTTGTTACTGACTGACTGGCTGTAGGGGTTAGTTTAGGTTTGCATGGTAAAGACTTATACGTTACTTGTCTTCCTTTAACAAACATATATTTCCTATCCTACAAATATTGTAAGTGGGTAACAGAAGGGGTTACATGTATTCAGCGTACTTATCTTCAAAGCATTTATTGTGGAAGATTGATTACAATAAGTTAGGATATTTTTTGATCAATAAATATATTGCAAAAAGTTGAACATGATTTAATCAAGGCAGTACTAATTCGTAAGTTTAGTCGCTGCAGGGTTTTTTGTTTTCTTTATGACTACATTTTTATTTTTGATGGCGTTATCGTTAGTAAGTGATAGCCAGAGATAAGAGGTTTTAGTATTTACCATGGATGTGTTCATTCCCAATCGTCTTGCATAACTTATATATCTGCCAACCCTTGGTTATTTTTATATCCTTTACTGTTTATCACTACCGTGTTTCTGTAGATGGTCATGGTAAGTCCACTTATTTATTTCTATCGACACTACATATTAATTTGATTTGTTCTGTACTGTTCTATTCCACATTTCATATTCCCTTCATTTCTTTATAGTCTCTTTTTGATCATCTTCATTGTGTCCTCCATGTTTCAGGCTGGACGCTAACCGTCTAATAACATCACTTAATAACTATTGTGACAAGAAAAATAAATGTGTATTAAGACTTTTAATTTATTGTTATTACGGGTGAGACGACAAATAATTATTTTAAATCAACTGTTCATATAATATTTTGTTTGCGGAATTTCCTAAAATATCCTGGGTTCAGAGTTAGGAATATCGGATTTGTAAGCGACCTGTGCATAAATCAATATGATAAATATATTTGAAATGGCAATTAAGTAGTTGTCGTTTTAATTATTTCGTAATTGTTCTGGTAGATTGTGATTGTAAATGTTTCTTATGTATGAATTGATAAACTCTAGGTCTTAATTTGCCTATCTTGTAGATTCATAATGATTACTTTGTATATTTTTATCATCATTTATTTTGCTAGTATGTTTCTTGTCATGGTTTCCTTCACTCCGGTTGAAATATCGATTACATATTTGATTTCGTTTCTTGACTGGCCATAAATCAAGTGGTCCCATTGAGAAAACTTCACTAATCTGTAAATTAATGTATAATTGAAAATTAAAAAGTCGTTACATGTTATTTTGCAAATCTGATTATTGAAAGTTAAAGTTTTTACAAGTTTATCCAGTGCGAACTCTGGTCACATGTCCTCAATTGATAAGTCCTCCGAAATCATATGTACTATCAGACGATTTGCCTTAAAAGGAGCGCGAATTGGTAACTTGTGAAATGCATAGGCGTTAGCAAACTATCTTTTCAAACCTGAATTCTATGTACATAAGCGACATATGTGTATATGTCAGCATAAGGTTGTGGAAATTGTTGAAGTTTACTGAAATTGGGAGCCGGTCGATGTTAGACCACCAATGAGAACCATGAAGCACTGGACGGCTGTTTTGTCCTAGTGTGGGACTTCAGCGGTGCGTATACAAGACCCCTCACGCAGGAATTGAACCTACCACCTTTGATCTTGCGTGCGAATGCTTAACGTCTGAACCAATTGAGCCGGTATCCAACTGTGCTAATTAATGTCTAGGTTCAATCAATTCACGATATTGGGCGACTCTCTTCGAGGTGTAAATGACTCATCTGACACAGTTAAACTCCACTGGTCACGGCCTCTCACTAGTACTTTGGGAATTTCTTTTCGAATCCAGTAACTAGTGGGGAAATAATAAGTTAGACATCCACACTGGATTCCAGCTCAGTTGGTCTATAAGTTAAGCGTTCGCGCGCAAGACCAAAGGTGGTAGGTTCGACTCTTCGAGGTAGAGCCGTGGATAGTGTAGCTTAAAAATGAGGCATATATAAATGTATGCATTTTTGAGTCATACAGCTTGTTTCATACTACTTATGTCTTTGTTTCTATTCGTTTTTTATCAAACTTTATCCTATTTGTGAGGATTTATGTTTTTGCTTTATTGGTGTCGAGGACTGCGGTTGACTAGTTTTTCTAGATATACGACTATTATATAGCGTCATATAATTAATGCTATCGTAAATAAAAGCTAGGTGCAGTGAAATTGTACTCTAGAAATATGATTCTCATCTCAAATAGACAAGTGAAATGACAATCGAATTTGTGAGTATAATACTGTTTAAGTCATTAATTTGTGTGAATACATTCATACTACTGAAATGATTCAGTGGCTCGTTTACACCTCAGAACAGAATCGTAGTACTTTCCATAGTTTACAGGAAATTGATTTCTTCTGAATTCAGATGACGCGTCACTTATGTATTTATCCATATAAATGAGTTTTTGTTGTATTACTTGCGGTTCAAATCTGAAATCAAACAATATTGCGAGGGATGGTTTGAAATGTCTCAGTAGTGTGAAGATCGACACTTGAATGAAGGTACATTTAACTGACTACTCCCAAATAAGTCGAAACGCACATCATGGATTCTACTGTAATTCTCTATCCAACATATTTTTATGTTCGACATGTTTTTATTGTTGTTTATACCCTTCATCTATTGACATATCTACTCTTGCCATACTTCATAAAAGGTGTAAAATCTCTAATTGATGGTCATTTTTTTCCAAGATCTATGTTTCATTTATGACTGATTAGAAAAAATTGCATTATGTACAATATATTTAGCTTTATGACCTATTTAAGTTTGCCTAAATTAAATGTGATTGGATGTAAAAAAAAAGTTTTCTTTGAACATACTGCCGAATTTATCGATTCTATTTTCGCTATCAATTTTATATATTTATTATTCTTTACGAAGAAGGAAAAGACCGAATTTGCAGAATAAAGCAGAATGACTTACCTTCATTCTAAAACCATTTTTAACCAAAACAATGAAAAATACCAATGGAATCATGCTAATTGATATTCCACTCATGGTCCAACCTAAATAAATTGACCATTTTGGATAAACATAAAATTGTGAAGTTCCGTGCAGAGCGATATTTACTCTTTTTGAATAATTAGTTGATAATTCTGGATGTTTTGCTCCATAATTATATTGTAATGGTGTAGGATCTATCAGTGAACTGATTATCATAACCTTCATTGATCAGGAAAATTCGAAGAGAAAAAAATCAAGTGAATAACCCATATACTGACTAAACGAGATGTAGTATTCTGTTAAGTAGTATATTTATTCCTTGTGAATTACAAAACAATCACCTGATTAGGATAAATGATACTCACTCGGTTGTTCATTACTAATAGGAAAAGTATGTAGTTGAATTGTAGCCTGAATATCTCATTGGTAATATCTCTATGAAACTAGGTGACGTGGGTTCGATTTCACCTGGGAATATCAATTCCTTAAAGCTTGCAAGTGCAAACCAGCATAAAACATAGATCCATAGTTTCCTTCAGACTACCTCTTAACACCTAACTATATGTAGTTCAGTATATGGAACTAATGATGTTATTTTATTTTGTATACCTAAAATGAACATAACTCAGTGCTTAATAAGATCTTAGTTTTGTTACATGTATATATATGATTAACACTAAGTTCCAAACAGTCCAAGGTATTAACGATCAAACTGATACCATAAAGTGAATTTGTTAGCAACAAATGAAAGGATGTTGCGAAATAATATGCTGTTCAAAGTCTGGAACACATGTAAAATGACGACCTGAGCCGCTATAATCACGTTTTGCATATACATATATAATATTCATGTGAATTATAAGCAAAGACGAATAGTGGCTAGCAGTGGGACTCGTTAGCTGGATGTACTTGCATCTCCGAGTTAATGTTCACTCCAGGACTTGAACCCAGTACCATTCGCTTCAAACGTCATCGCGTTATCCATTTAACTACTGAATCCTGATAATCACCTGCTTTTCCAATGGGGTGAATTTAAATTCACTTGGTATTTGCTTGAATCTTCCCATTGAGGTTTAAGACTGCAGTCGATCAGTCTATCGATCTTTGCTTATAAAGCTTGTGAATTAGGGCAATACGCACAGTGTGCACGTATGCCAATAACAGACTGATCAATTACAGCCTTATACCTCAATGCAAGATTCAAGCAAACAATACCAAGTGAGTCATTTCCAGTCCTAGGTTCGATCGGCGTTTTTTCCGACTTTTCAAGCGATCTGGACTACCAATAAGCTGTAATTGCACAATAAGTGTAATGGTACGTATCCAAACACGTCAGTCGTTGTGGATACGCAATGTCATTGACTGATTTTTTATACACAATACCACACTTCTGTATTGATCCTGTTTCTATTCCGGTGACAAAATATTTGTGGTCCTTTTGTGTATGTGTCAATGGTTCACAAGGCATAAAGTAGAGTGAATTATTTTAAGTATTCGAATGGCATAGATGTGCAACACGTGTTGTCAGTTTGCTAAACAAAATCTTACCAAATCTGTATGGTAAAATAGATTATTTATATATAAACACAAGGCAGTAGTGTAAAAGTTTACGTGCAGTCTAATTCAAGGTACGACAAAGTTCTTGGTTTTAAAGTAGCTCGAATATATTTCTCTCTCTACGTATGTAATAAACTTTTTACTATATGGTTGGAGTACTTACGTCTTGTCCTACATTTTTTTTAAAAAAGGTCTCTATGACTTAATCAGATTACGGTTTAGGTTAATTGCTTTATTACTCATCTTTTTTTCAACGTTGATTAGATAGTCTGTCTCGAGTCCATAATTAGTATTATACTCTTTGGTTCATTACAGTGGCTTAATTCGATATCCATGTAACTGTTTCGCATTTTTATAGTCTTTTGTTCTTTGTTTCTGAACGAACATTTACTTTAATTTCAGCTAAGTGAAAGTAACTATATGGATCACCAATCAAATTACAATTTTTATGCATGATAAATTTATGCAACGTTTCTTACATTTTGTTAAGGTGGACTCAAGTTACCTAGTTTTTTTCAACATGTTAGTTTTTTCCCCGTAGTTATTTTTCTTATTCATCTTTCCGTATTGATGTTTGGTATTATCTGATTAGTTGTTGTCATTTGTCCTTTATTAATTTTGTTTTCTCAAGATCATTGAGCATTACTACATAAACCGCTGTTTCCTTTTAATTTGGACTTTTGTTCGGAATTGAAAAGTTATTCCAAAGGTTTCGTTTACTCTATCTCGTGCTAGCCTATGAATTTCTAAATGTAAATTGTTGTGTCATTTGCTGTCCCTATAGAACACTTTCGTACCAAAACAGAGCGCAATCGTTTTGTGATTTGCAACTAGCGCAGGCCTGTAGCAAGCTTTTTTCTTATGATATAGCATATTTTTGCAAACGGTCCCTAAATCAAATTCCATTTTATAATATTAAATAGGAGAATTTAACTGTTAAAATGGAAATGACCAGATAAAATATGCTTACAGTCAAAGTGATGGGTGTTAACAGTTTCCAGCACAGTCGCCAGTATATATTAGGTGTGGGAAGATTCATTGATATAATATCTTGACAAAGTTTATTCATACCTATAACGATAATACTTAATATTACTTCTTGGTTGTATTCCATTATGACAAAGTTATACCGAATGTCGACTTGAAAAAAAGTTCGGAAAACGGGTCTCTTCTATTCATGTTTTGCAGTAAACATTTGATTTGTGTGTCAGGAAGGATATTTTTCCATTTTCTGTTTTTTAGTTGACTAAAAAAATACTAACAACCTCGACCATTATCCTTACTTAATTACATATTTTTCTGCCATTTGTTGATTTTATTATACTTTACATCAGAAACTGACTTTAAATAGAAAATCGCTGCAGACCAAGAATCGTGGAACGTTTGTTTTGTCCCAGTGTCGGGCTCCCCGACAGTAAACACATGACTACATACGAGATCGAATGTAGCTGCTTTTTAGACTACTCTTCTGGAGTTTGATAATAAACAGTTTTAACTTAACCAAACACTATTTTAAGTGATACCTGTCTCACTTCTGACTTGGTCGAACTCCATCGTACACTGTTTCTCGTTAGGACTTCAGTGAGTCATCTTAAAATTAATCACTAGTGAATACATGGTTATGACTAGCATGAGAGGTAACATTTCATAAAAACACCGTACACTTGGAACTTAACCTATTAGTAACAGCATATTGATATGTACACATAACCTTCAGAATGGGTTTTTGTGAATATTATAGTAATTTCAATAGTTGAGATCATCAGTGAATCGAAGCAAGACCACCATGTAAAACCTGGAAGCACTGGACGGCCGTTTAGCTTTACTGTGGGCCTCCTCAGGAGCGCGCATCCACGATCCCGCCTCATAAGACTCGAACCCACGATACTACGCAACGGCCGTCCAGTGCTTCCAGGTTTTCCATGGTAGTCTTACTTCAATTGACTCATGATCTCAACATACGTCTCAGGTATTTAACCGGCTGAGTTCAAACTGTATTAATGACGGTTGTCTCAGTGCTATCTCTTACACGACTAATAAGTTTAGGAATCTGTTATTGAACTTCTCTACTTGAGGTTCGTGCTGTTAATGTTCAGAAGAAGAATGGAAGCGTGAATAAGCCATCCAGCTCAGAGAATGAAACTCATCTAAACTACGGATCTTTATGTCCTTATAAACTCTGATTTAAAAACTAAATTTTGTCAGAACGGGGACTGATAAAAATATAATCAATTGTTTTATTTATTCAGTAATTCGGTTTGTGACTAACTGCCTATCTTCACCTGTTCAAGTCATAGATAATCTTGCTTATGTAATCGAACACATTCATTTTGGCTTTTTGTCATCATAGATCACAAGTATGTCAGTTATGTCGCGTCTTGTCTTCTAACTAGATTCCACTCGGATTATAACCACTTATCAATTATCACGGACACGGAATTATGTATCCACACTGATGAGGAGTCTCGTGATGGGACGAAACAGACATCTAATGCTTCTAGGTTTTCAGTGCTGTCTGGTTAGGTTCAGTCTGTTGCTGAAACTATGAAAATAACTGAATGGACTGTTTTCATAATCGTTAAACACTGATGATCTAGAGACAAATTAAATTAATTGCTCTTACAGTTTATTCATTAGTTAGTATGATCAGAATAAACTGGTATACTATACAATAGAGAAAAACTTAAATTCAAGCAAAACTTATATAAACATATAGTTTATGACTTACCATAAAACCATGCTATGGCAATCACTTGAAATAAGCTTCCAATGAGTAATGCAGTACCAGCCATATATCGATCCATAAGGTTGAATACATACATCCCCCCCTTAAAATTAACAAGAAAGTCCGATCAGGCTTTGATATGATGCCCAAAGGTTTGGCTTGTTAGTCAGATCTTAGTGAATGATTGGCCTACAATATAATTTCATCTAATCGCCTATGACATTTCTTCATGTTTATTTTGTGTTCATATACGAGCATTCTATCATATTGAACGAAAAACCATTCATCTGACTAATGGTCTTGTCTGTAATCATTCGGGGCACCAAGTTAATTATATGGCCTCGTGACTATCCATCACTCACTCACATTATATCATAGTGTTCTCTTGTCAATTAGCATTCTATTTATCGACTATGACAATTGAAAGTTCACATCATTCAGAAAACGCAATCGATAACAGGTTTAGCAACAGGTTATCCATCACTGAGTAGTAGTGACTGGTGCCACGTTTGGTTATTTCATTCTAGTGATGATCGAAGTTTATCGAACAAGTTGAAGTGCGATCATTAATCTAAGTGACGATATAATGTCTGCTATTGAAATGTTAGGTGGTTAAGTGTAAGTGACACAGGATACACCAAAGAGGAACAGTCCCTACAAGAGTACAGGTACACCTTGCTGATTAGCGCCAAATCTCATGAAACCAAGGTCTAAAGCTTTCTGTTGAAATGTGCATTTCCTCTGATCATACGAAGTAACAGAATTTTACATTTAACCTCAGATTATCTGATCAGTCGTTCTGAATGGATATTAGACTCATAGTATTTGTATACGAATTGTTAGGTTAAATTGCTATGATTAATATCACTGTCAACAGTACCTAAAATCCACTTATCGCAGACAATTACATATGGAGATGAATGTAAGAATCTAGGGGACATGATGTCATCTGATAAGCCAGGTCGGGAGATTAGCTTCCCTACCTTCACTTTCGTCCTCAGCTAGTTTTTTACTGGTAATATGTTGGATGTAGATGACAGACTGATTTTACTGATATACATATAATCAATTCACCTGGTGGCTGCCTTTTCAAGTTTATTACGTAACATATTTCAGAAATCGGTTCCCCGATCAGTTCTATTGTTTCCCTTATTTTCAACTAACTGTCACGATATAAAATGACAATATACTTTCTTTGGTGAAATAAAAACTTTTGATTACTTTGGTACTTATCAAACTTCGAGCAACCTGGTTTATAAAACTGAAATTGTTTTACTTAACAGGGTATTTCCGTCAAAGGTATGACTGGAAATTTTTCTCTATGGCTATTAGAATTTAAGTTGATGATATCACAGCGTTATGGTGTCTTTAAAAAAGATTAATAGTTTTTTAGTCAGGCAATATAATCCGGTAATACAACTAATATAGCCCTAAATAATTCATACTATCTTAACGAAAATTAGATGAGGTAAGATCACGCTTTAGAAAAGTGATTCTCATGCCAAATCGACATTCGTTAAGCAACCAATTACATTTTAAGAATAATAGTATTGGTGAAAGCTATTAGCTTCGTGAATACATTCATACTTCTGAAACGATTCAGTAGCTCAAATTCACTTGGTGTTGTCTTACTTTTATCTTCCCATTGTTATTTAGGACTGCAGTTGATCAATCTCATGTTGGCACATATGCATCCTGTGTGGATTGCCTTGATATAGCCTTAAGTCACAAGCTTTTTAAACCAACATGAGACTTATAAATTTCAGTCCTAAATAACAATCGGAAGATAAAAATAAGACAACAAGTGAATTCAAATTCACCCCATTGCACAAGCAGTTGGCTATCAGGATTCAGTAGCTAAGTGGATGACGCGATGGCATTTGAAGCGAATGGTACTGGGTTCGAGTCCCAGTGACCATCAACTCCACGATGCAGAGACATCCAGCTGACAAGTCCCAAATAGGACAAAAAGCACGTCCTGGATTCCAATGCAAGCCAATATCCAATTTCGCATGAAAAAACTCACTAGCTCGTTTAAAATTTAAAGTAGAATTGTAGTGCTACGATAAACGTGTTACTTAATCCCATAGTCTACAAGAAATCGATTTATAGTCGGATAATCTTGAACTGATGTCGTGATACACCAATTATGTTTTTATCTATTTAAATGAGTTTGTACTATATTTATAAGGATTAAAAACGAAAACCAAATAGTTGTGATGACTTGTTCAGTACTGGAGTTTTTGAATTTGCTGAATACGTTGGACAAAGATTATTGACTAGAATACATACACTGGTTACATTAATGAAGGCAAATGAACAGGCCGAACCAATTACAGCCAATGTAATGAAAGGTCGTAAATGTCTGTAACGTGAAAATCTCTTCGGTACAATGTCAGTTAAAGCGGTGACAACGGATTCTAATCCACCCATCTGAAATGATAATTGATACAAAAGGTGACACCTATTAACAGTGTTTCGGTGATATAATAAAGTGATTTAATGAAAATTAACTATTTTAAACTGCGATTTTGATATACATAGTACAATGTAAGCTTCAGAGGACCCCTAAAAATATCATTAAATTGATACGAAGAGAGGGAGGAAAGAGGGTGAAAATGTCATTAAAATTATGGAAAAATCAAACAGCACAGCTCGAGAAAAAGCTATGACTTAAATGTGGAGGTACTGGGGGTCAAACACAATTCAACTGCTCCAGTAACCCCCAAAGTCGTGATCAGGCTGACAGTCTAAGCACTGTCAGTACTCGTAGACTAACGAAATAGCTGAAGTTGTTGCACGAGCGAGTAGGGAAGAATTTCGATTGTTCACATTGATCTAGCTATGCACGATTTTTAATTATTTGATGCAGTTTCACTGATGTTTACGGTCTTATTATTGTTATAGATTGGGAGGGTCTGGTTTGCTGCTCCTATATATTACAAAACTAGATCATACTTAGTAAGCGAACTAATTGCAACGACCGTGTATATTATAGTTGGCAGTTTATTAATTACACTTAGTGATGATCTGTACCACCCCGTTTTAGAGATGTAAGAAAATCATAGGACGAGATTTTAATAAATAACAAACTAAATGAAAATCGAACATCTTAATCATAAAAGTAAATATTTGTAACAAATACAAATATACTAATATAAATTTCAGCATTCGGTTGTGGAAACTGTTGAACTTTTATTGAGATCACGAGCAGATTTTTGAGGCAATTATTTGACTTTAGATCCTTAAAAGAACAAACAAATTGTATGTATCAAATTATAAGCCGGTATCATATTCGGTTTCCTGACAACAAATAAAATTTGATTTTTTTTATTGAGATCATGAACTAACCAATGTTGGACCATCACTGAAAATCTGGAAGCAGAATAGCCGTTTTGCCACAGTACAGGACTTTTCGGCGGTGATCTAGAGCATAAGCGTTCGCGCGAGATCGGAGGTCCTGCTTTCGGTTTTCATGTCCAGGATCGTGGATGCGCTTTTATGAGGTCAGTTGACTAATTACATTTACTAGTAGCAATCATCGACTTTTAATATTTATTTACATGTATGTAACGATAAATAGATATGTGTTTTTCTGCTTTTAAAGAGTTATAAATCACAAATCATTTAAGGTTAAATAGTTTATTTGCCAAATATATGAGTAAATGTATAACTCATTTTGTTTAAAAATTTATTCGGTAACTGTACTTTTTACGTTATTTTCATTTATGAATCAATCAATTCATGGTTAAGACACGCTTGGCTTTTAACCATTGGATTACAGACTTGAACCTTACTAGCATCTACCTTGGTCTAAGACAATGAGTTAGAAAAATCAGAACTTACATTGAATAGGTTGATTCAAATCTTGATATATATATATATATATATATGGTACAAAAAGTGTTTCATTAAATTTCACAACTCACTCCACTGTCTAATCCGAGCATTATAAGTAACAGAAAGAATATTGTTGCCCATAATGGTGCGAAAGGTAAAGTTCCGATAGCTAATGGATAAACTTGAAATACCAATCCTGGACCTTTTTTATTCGATGATTGCACAACAGCATATAAATAAAGTAATTAAAAAATAATAAACATTTGTAGAAAATCAATATTAACTAGGCTTGTTGTGCCAGTTACTTTTTTAGCGTGTAGTAAGGAATATTCCTATTTCTCTCAAGTTTCACCATTAATCTGACGGGATTACATTACATTGTCTTGAAAAATGTCTTTGTTGTCTTTGCTCAATTGTTTTATATTATCTCACATGATCTAGAATTTATTATTATTATTATTATTATTATTATTATTATTATTATTATTATTATTATTATTATTATTATGTTATTCCATTTAGTCTGAAAAATTGTATTTTATTTTTCGACTTAAAGTTTTGCTTAACTCAATTTCTATATCTTAATCACTTTTCTATTTATAGTTAGATGTACTTATTTGTGTTATTTCATGGGACATTTCTAATGTTACAGACTTGAAAACCTATTTATTTTAGTTTATGAAAGGCAGTTGTTTATCTATCAATTCAGATGATTATTAGTTGTATTACAAATAACATATTGATTGAAGTTGGAAAATGTGAATCGTTTTGATTATAACTTAACGAATTCAAGAAATTATATTAACCATGAAATTGTAAATTTTTGTGTATGAATAAGTACACATTTAAGAATATACATTGATGTGATATGACCAATGCATTATAAATTATCTGTACAAAACTAGTTGGTTTTCAATTATTCTTCAAATGATGTTGGCAAATAATGGAGAAAATACATTTAAAAAATAAGTAAACAATTTTCTTTTCAGAGTGTGCTGTATCTTTAATATTCATTCCATTTAATTTTATAAATTAGAGTTTGTGTTTGTATAAGAAAAATCCGCTTGAAATTTGTAAACTCCAGACTTTGAATATCTCAACCAATTCTTGTTCATTTAAATAGATATCATTTCCCACTTAAGACTATTGTATAACTATCAGGATGGCGGTTTGTAGAGGTTCTTGAATGTTCCTGAAATTAAAAACCAACTTAATTAAGACAACCATCGGAACTAGTATTCACTCAACAATATTTTAATTCCGGTTTTAGTGCACACTGTTGATCATCCCATACTAGGAAAAAACAGCTAACCATCACTTCTTGATTTTCAATGGTTGTCCAACTTAGATTGGTTTGTGATTTTGAAGTTAAAATCGTATGAATTACAGGTGAACGAATACTAATAAATTTCTTTGATTTCTCACTAACGTTAGTAGAATTTTCATTTAGCTATGGCCAGTTATAATCCATTGGATTTATGAAATGTACCACCAATGTGATAAATATATAATACCATTGTTTACTGAATATCATTCTTACCTTCTCCTGTTACAGTTTGTACTGTAGTATGAGTAAGATGAGCCAAATAACCAAGATAAGCGAATACAGTAACGCCAGCAAATAAACTTGTAGAAGCATTCACAAATGAAGTGATCAAACAATCTCTGTGTGAGAGTAAAAAATATTCGTTAATTGAACTAAGACAAGTAAATATTATCAAGTGTTTGTTAATTTCCGTGTATTGTATTTGAAATATCTGCAATTTATTAATACTGGAGAATTATAGGGTTTAAAATAATAGTAAGTCGAACAACAGATAAAAAACATTCTGTTTTTGGAAGGTTCTTAGTTATCACTTCATATCTTAGGTTTTCTAAGTTATGTTGTAATTAATAGGTTTCTGTGGTTAATGTTTTTCTTGATTGGAATATGATTGGGTTTGTAAACATGTGTTTTTATTGTATCGTATTATGTTGAAGATGTAGTAGACATAACAATGATTATTTATTTAAACAGGATAAATGAATAGACAGCATTTTAATTGTCACTTTCCAATCAACTTCACAGGCAGCTTGTCTGATGGAATTCGATCAGCACTAAGGATAGGACTACATGAAATTGGTCACTGATAGACTACCAGCTTTCAGGGAAGTCTAATTACAGCATTTTCACCGTCATTTTGGACAACGTTTTACATAAAATAATCTTTTAACTGAAGTTTTAAATGATGAAAAACTCCAGCCCTGAGAACACAACATCAAATATATCCATATATACTTTAGTATTTTTCTTGTATATTTGGACCCACCTGTAACAATTGTACCGTCTAGGATTATACGTTGCATAAGCGATATGTGCACCGAATCCTGCTCCAGTTGAAAAAAATATTTGAATAGCTGCATTCGCCCAAACCTTGAATAAAATATTACTATTGTTGATTCTTAAAAATCGAAAAAAAACTAATAATGATTGAATTTTTTGATTTCCTACTTTGTATTATTCTATTAATTACTTTCTTTTTTTCTCCTAATAATCGACCCTTATTCTAATGATTTTAAGTTTTCTGTCTTGCATGGTTTACTTACGAAGGTTTCTTTGTTTTTTTTAAGTGACAGTCAAATAATTGAAATGAAAATTTCGTAATTAAACCATATAACTGATGCTTTAAAACCCTATCATTAATATTTGTTTCCATTTCATGTGGTTTTTACCAACTTTTTCCACTTTTTTTATTTTTGTTTGATTATATCGTTGATAATGAACATAAGTTGTAGCCATAGTCGTTTTTTTAATTAATCGTTGTCACTTTTTTCGTTTCAATACATACCCACACCACTATTCAAAATAAATACCTTCATGTTTCCTGAGACTTTCAACTGATGAATGATAATTTACTCAATATACATGCCTAAGTCTCGTTTTAAAATATCAATAAACATCTAATGCCTGTAAATATCAAATCAATTCTCTATTTCTACAGTCATCATTTTATGTAAATTTGAAGAGTTGATGATTATTTTTATATAAAGCCAAAACAAATAATGATGCAGAATAATATAAATTCATTGTATATCGTGGTTTCTCATCAGCTGCTTGCAACCAAGTATGTATTACAATTTTACATTGAGGTAAGAAATAGTATGAAACATAGGTGATTGTAAAGATTTGGAATGACTAAGGTTATCAATAATAACTATACATATGCGCAAGAACAGGTCAGAGGTTATTTGGTGTTGAAATCAAGGAAACATCAAGGATGGGTGACGTAGTAGTTGAGTGGGGTTCAAAAACAGATAAGACAAATTGTGTGATAATTTTAGAGGTAATGAAGGATTTACATAAGATCCATGGAATTAAAAACTGATAAAATGGGTTACTTAATAATTGAATAGAATTTGAAGATTTCACATAATTTAAGAAAATTAAATGAATGAAAATGTATGAGTGATGGGGTGGTTTAGGAATTCGGTAATGGAAGAGAAATATAAAACAAACTAAACATTAACAAAGTAAAACTAATGACCAAAAAAGGATTACCAGGATAGTAATAGGTTTATTAATATCTCTTTTTGAATATAAAGATGCGGTTTGAGTTTTTTTATCACGATCACTTCATCAAAATGGAGAAAAGCAGTACTTCTTTTTCTGCTAACAATACTACTTTTCCTCGTCCTGCTGAAGCGATCGCGATAAAGAAAACTCAAACCGCATCTATGTATTCAAATAGAGATGATAATAAACCTATTACTATCCCGGCAATCCTTTTTTGGTCATTAGTTTTATTTTGTTGATGTTTAGTTTGTTTTAAATTTATCTTCCATAACTGAATTCTTAAACCACCCCATCACTAATTCTAATATTTGGATGTAAGCAGCTGATAAGAAACCACGAAATATAATGAATTCATATTATTCTGCATCAATATTTTCTCTGACTATTTAAATTCATAAAGGGAACTAATTGCATGAGATTATTTTTATATATCGTTAAAAACTTGTTCACATGAGTATTTATTATTAACTTCAATATGTGTATTTTTTTATCAAGATATAGCTTATATAAATGAAAGTAATCGAATCCGTTCAATGCAAACGTTAAGACTGTTCTATTTGTACAGAGCTGAACTTAGATAACTACTACAACTATCGTCGAAAAAGTACAGGTATTTATAAAAAGCAGTCTGGTGAAGATACTTCAGGTTCGTCGGCCGAACACTCGGCGAATAGGATGGAGATACCGAAAGAATTAATAGATATTGAAAACATTTGGAAAGGAGGACCCACGAGTGAGTTGGTTGAAGACTCATATTCGGTGGCCAATACTTGATGAAAGGCAATGGAGTAATTAATTTAAGAAGTATATATCCGTTCTAATACGACGAGTACAAATGCAATCTTGGTAAAATATAACAGTATTAACAATCAGTTTTATAAGTTATTAACTGTTTCATCGTTTTTGTTGACACCACAGTCATAAAAACACATCTTTCATAAAACCCTTTGAAATTTACTCCATAACTTATTACTAGTCAAACTGGATCGTTATTTAATTATCCAGTGGCTGTTGATATTTTCTGGTTCTCTGAATAAGGTTAGTCCATGATTTAGACCGTAAAATTAGAAACTTTTCACAGATCCGTACACATGTGACTAATTTTCAGTGGTCATTTCCAGAATTCTAGTGTGAATCTGTAACCACTGGAATTCAACCAAGGAGCGGCGTAATGCAATTACATATCAGTGGTAATGGAAGATGGTTGAAGGTCATTTTTATCTTCACCAAAGAATTATGTAAACTGTGAAAAAGCAAAATGTCAAGGAGTTTGAAACAACTGTTCTAACCTACTAAGTTATTTCTCAACAATGCTCACTAATAATCCAACAAGGAGACGTGAATGAGGACCTAGAAACTTCTGGTGTTGTGAACAAACCGAACTAGTTAAGATTATTGATTCAAGACCATTTCTTCAGTTTATTTTCTATTGGGTATTTGGATCTTCCCAGTCATATTTAGGACTACAAATGATCAGTCTCTCGGAATATGTTCATCCTGTTTGGATTGCCTCGATCCAGCTGACTAATCCTAAATAAAAGGAAACGCACATATTGGATTCCACATCTAGCCACCATCCATCTCTGCTTACATTTATTCAGTTTATTGTGAAAACTAATTTTAAAATACACAAACGTTTCATATAATCACCTAATCATTCATCGAAACACTGATCATTTTTCATTAAAATAATCATTCAACTGGCAAGCTACAAACGGAAGAATTTATCATTGTGCTTCATTAAAACATATTTGTTTTCAAACAACCAAACAGAAAATGTATGTAACATTTTAGAAAGGAAAAAAATATCTAAAATTATGTTAGAGAGTAAAATAAACAGTGTAATGTTCAAGAGTTACCGTCATTTCTGATAATTTATCAAAGCGCGGTTTAATAAAGTACCAAATTCCATTATAGGAACCATTCAGCGTCAATCCATTAATTAAAAGTATACCCAACAATAAATATGGAAGTAATGCAGTCACATACACAACCTGAAATTTATTTATAATTAATTTTTGTAACGAAACTAAAATATATAATCGTGTAAAAATCATTAATGTAAAAGAAAGAATAACATCGTAAAAATTAAATGAAACAATCTTCTTTAACACGATAAAAATGATATGAATATGACGAAAGGTATTGTAAGATTGAATTAATCTGTACAATAAAAAATAATCATTAGGTCACTAGTGACTAAGTTTGAGATGATTTCTCATAGTTGTTAGTGACAATTTGCGACTGAGTGAACTCACTTATGTATCAGATATAAGACAGGTTTCTCTGATATTAGCATTGAATAATTAAAGTACAATATTACAACTTGTCGGATGTTGAATATTTAAATCGTTGAACACTGGTTCAATATTATGTAGGTTATGCAAATAAAGAATTTTCTGTAGACAATTAATTTCATTCACTTGTTATATTATCATAGCGGTCAGTATTATTCCTAGAAGTAGACTAGCCTTGTTACAATATTTGAATTTGAATTCATTAGAGAGTATCATAGTGATACTGTTATCATAATGTACTGCATCTGGAACCTCGCATTGTTAACTCCTGGTTTAGATTATTATTCTATCTTAACCTAACGCTAATTACTATCGATCGATTTCAGTATTAAATGTAAGTGCAATCTGAGTGTGGTCGGCTCACTTTTTCTATTGTTCTTTTTGATTTTATATTTTTGCACACATATTAGTCTTCGCACTTCTCTCCCCATCTCAAAATTCGAAGTATGTACAGGAAAGACAGAAACCTACCAAAAGCTGAACGACATAATATCATTGAAAATAAATTGATAACATTTACCTTGCCCGATGTTTTCACTCCATTCCTCATTGATGCAAATAGTATACTAAATATGAATATAGTACATCCTACTAATTGCCATCTAATTGGTCCAAGATCTTCTAAACCAGTACTTTGCTGTAATTTCAAAACAACACGTCTAAAATACCACATAAAAGGGGTAAAGAAAAATTGGATTCGATTTATTATTCAAAATTGGATATTAGCAGGGTGGAATATACAACTGGTGGTCATGTTCACTGTGATATTTATTCTGTAAAACACGTAACATTCGTTTGGCTCAGCGTAAAATATCGACAGGACTGATGTTTCCCGTACGATTTGGTCCTGTGTTTTCCAGCTTCGTATTGCAACTGGATCAGGAAAGTTTGACGAGCACTTAAAAAGGCTTGAAATATACGACATTGGTCACTACTTAGTGATTAATTAGCTGTAAAAATATGTTAGTCCTATAGGAGGTAATTCAAGGTCCAAATAACCCAGTAATAACGTCTTTGACCATCAAGATGAGTGACACAAGATTAAATCCTAAAGAAAACATCAGTCCTCTAAAGATTACAGGTATATCCCGTTGACGAGTGCCAAACCGTTCGAAACCCAAATCCAGGAATTCCTGTCGAATACCTCTAACCACCACTTTGTATTTCCACGGTTTTCAATCATGTATTCGGTAAAATGTGTATAAAGATAAGTGTATTTGGTTAATTAGTTGTTGTCTTGTTTTGTTATTAAAGAATGATTAGAATCTTCATCTGTCACTTGTTCCTGTCTTCTTTCTTGTGTCGTGCGAATTGTAGTCTCTTTTTTTAAATGGTATTTTATCACAGCAATCACAAATAATTTGAATGAATGTAATTCTTATTAAGGAGATTAAATTAAATTTCAATAAACATAAGTTGCGTATAAGTTAAAAATACTTTTTTGGCCGTTCGTTTATGAAAATATCCTTCGAACTTGCACAATATTTAATTAATTAGATAATGTCTAGAACGTTATACATCTAAACATCTTGCCTTATTTCAAAATTTACACTGTCTGATGGAAAATAGCTTCATTCAGCAGTTGGTGTTTTCTAAACAAGTATAGTATTTTACAGTCAATAGTCTTTTAATTATTACTTGTAAGTAAACTCAGTGTTACTTAGCGTAAGGATAACCATTCTTTTCTCAGTGCCCCCAAAAATGTCATATCTAATACTTTCAGACATTTTCCCATTCAATATGTTAGCGTATAGTTTGATCAGTGTGATATGTTTACAAATGAAAATCGAAAATTTAAAATATTCTTTATAAGCAAAGATGGATGGTGGCTGGAAATGGAATCCAGGGTGCATGTTTCATCCTATTTGGGAGTCGTCAGCTGAATATACCGGGATCCCAGAGTTGATGTTCACTCCGGGACCCGAACCCACAAACGTTTGTCTCAAAATCCATCGCGTTATCTACCTAACTACTGAGTTCTGATAGCCACTTGCTTGTCTAATGGAATGAAGTTGAAATTCACTTGTTATTGTTTGCTTGAATCTTCCCACTGATGTTTAGGACTGCAATTGATCAGTCTCTTATTGGCACATTTGCATATTGTGCGTATTACCTCAATATTGCTTTAATTCACAAGCATTATATGCAAAGACGGGTGGTGGCTAACAGTGTAATCCAGAACGCGCGTTTCATTCTATTTGAGACCTGTCAGCTGGATCCCATTGCTAGTCACTATCCATCTTTGCTTATAATTTGTGTGAACTAAAGCAATATCGAGGTAGTCCGTACAGGATGCACATATTTCACTAAGAGACTGATTAATCGCAGTCCCTAATATCAATGGAAAGATTAAAATAAACAATACGAAATGAATTTAAACTTCACTCCATTGCACAAGTTATTGAAGCAAATGATCTAGGTTGGAGTCCCGGAGTGAATTCATTTTTCGGAGTGTAGGTACATCCAGCTGATGGGTCTCAAATAGGACGAAACGTGCGTCCTGAATTACACTGCCAGCCACCATCCATCTTTGTTCATTATGATTTTTATTGTACTTAACATATTCTGCATTGTTTTCTTTATATTGTTTATACCTGTGTTTATTTAATTTAGTTATTTATTTACTCTGAAGAAGAGTCTTACATTAATTCATGGAACGTCAGAAATACAACTTCCTACCCATTCTGATATAACAAAAGATATATCTTTTAAATTTTTATTGAAAATAAGTTCGGTAGTAATTCTTTTGTTTTAGATGCGAATGTGTACATATGTAGAAAAATAGTGATTATAGCTAAATTTTTTTGATGACTCGCTTTTAATCTGTCGTAATGCTCTATTAAATTTTTCAAATTACTGCTATAGATCAGTTGACTTAACTGTTGACGTGCTTGGAGAACGAATTTGTAAATGTCAGCTGATCAGTTTTCAACCAACAGAACAACAATTTTTATGATTGTATAAATGAAAGCTAGTATTACAATTTATATGATGGATTAGCATTGTCCAAACAACCAATGAAAACCAAAAAATCACTGAACAGCTATATTGTTATAATATGAGAATTCTCAGTTGCGGATATCCACGACTTTATCAGAGATGGAACTCAAAATGTTCATTTCTTGGGGCAAGTGCTTAGACTCCGAATCACGCTTACTAGCCATTGAATCGCTTATATTTTTAACTTCAATCAATTTACAACTTTGGGTCATCATGATTCAATACAATTAGCAGAAAACTCTATCACTCCCGTACATCGTTAGATACAAAACATTCAACCAAAAATCTACTAAGATTATGTAATTACTTATTGTTTAATTCAATATGCGTTATCAACAATGAATATCACGGTCACAGAACACATTCAGTGACAAATACCTTTCTAGTTGTGATAAATAATAATAATTTTGTTTTATTTTGAATGAAAAATCATTTATATGAAATCTTACTCAAAATATTCAATTGAAGCAAGACTATAATTTTTCTGTTGTAATAAATCATTTTCGTCATTGGAAATAAAATTAGATAAGTTTTGTAAATACGTAAAATTCACGCAATTAATACTATTACCCCTTCGTTGATCACAATAGGTCCATGGTAGAATATCCGTAATGGATACAAATAAAAAGTATAGTGACCATGCAGATATTGTATTATAATAGAATGCAACTATATAGGATATGATTACTTGAGCAATACCAACACCTGTGAAATATTAATCAAAACAAATAAATTAAATGAACTTTGGTTAAATCATGTCTTATCTATGAAACAAATCAAACTATATTTGTTGGATAGTTTTGGGAAGATTTTTTGCTGCTTAAAAATAATTTTTGTGATAAATCGACGTTAACTGAAAAAACGTTGGATACTAGGAGCCTGTGTTGTTCTAACAGAAGATACCTCAGTCGTACACAATCACTTTTTCACATTTTACAGAGCCAAGAGCTTTCTGATTACGCACAATAACTAACCATGTTCAGCCATTGAATGTGCATCATTTTATGAATAAGATTCATATTCAAGTCTTTAAAACACAGTTTACTGATGTATATTATCAGAGATTAAACAATGTTTGGTGTCATACAAAATATGTAATGTTATTTGAATATTTACAAAATTGAAAGTTTTCATGGTCAACTATCGCATAATTTTGAATCTAAGGCTTACGTTGCTTAGTGCTTGTTGGTCCGGTAATGTTACTTCACTCAATGAACGACTCTTTTGTGACCCGGAATGGAAACCTGTTTACTCTTCGAATTGAATAAGCGCATAAAAAAGATAAAGTTTATTGTGATTGATGATGAGAGTGAATAAGCAATTAAACTACGTGATATCGCAATTCTCTTTGGCTTAAAATAATGCCTAATCAGTAGTCAGAATGTACTATAGGATCGACTAATTTTGGAATTAGTGCTGACCATTGACAAATTAAAAAAAATAACATAGTGACCTGTTTTGTTATGCTCCACCAAGTGATTTAATTTTAAAAAGTTGTAAGAGAACAGCAAAAGAAATAAAAGTATAGTAGTAACAATAAATTTTACCTCGAAACATAGGACATATATCCCAAAGAGAAATAGCTCCACGACGATGTTTTTGGCCTAAAATCAATTCCAAGTAGAACATTGGTGTTGCACTGCAAATCATCACAATAAAGTAGGGAATTAGGAAAGCACCTAAAATGTTTAGAATAAATAAGACATCGAAATAACCGTGAAGCAGTTACTGATTCATAGTTATTCTCATTGACTATAATTACACTTTTTAATAGTTAAGATGGTTGAGAAGATGAGTTGACTCGTAAATTTAACTATTAAAATCACTACAATCTCCACAAATCCCCATTCTAATAACAATTGCACTTTTCTCTATAGTTGTGTTACTAGATAACTATTTCGAGTAATATGGTCTATCTGAAAAAAAGATGATCAAATCAATTTAAGTCATTTGTAATACATGTGACCTTAAAATTTCGTGAAAGATCCAGACTTTTATTTATGAATCGATGTACTTCTCACTGAATCAAAGTTTCAGTATGCAAAATATTTAATTGTTCATGCTTAAAAATGAATTTGCTTAACAGATCAGTTTAATGTATTTGTTAGACATTTACTGTTGACAAATTAGTTTTAATAGTCAAACTATGATACACGTAAAGGTTCTAAACTGTCCGCTCTCGTTTGCAGAAATCATAAAGTATAAAGAAGCATTATTTGGTTACCAAATATCTTCCGAAAAAACTAGCAAAGCTGATGTCCATATATATTTTTCAACTCATTAGATCAAAGTTACGAGTTCTGTTTCATACCTCGTTTGTATAGCATTCAATCTTTAATTCAATAACTCTAATGCAGAGAAACATGAACTCTTAACAGACATGTCAAAAATAGGATGTTTATAAAGCGCTGGTTGAGGATGCATAAGCGAATACTGTAACTGGCAGTCGATCGAATGCTTACTGATGAAGAATCCTATAATGGAATTAAACGGCTGTTTAGCGCTTCTTGTCGTCGACGGCTGTCTTGTTTAGGTTGGTTCATGAACAAAACGTGTTAGACTGAAACAAGCTATGTGATATTAGTTGAGATAAATTACCAAACAACTGTAAGTAAATTATTGGCAACATATATATAACAGAAAATCATGAGTTTAACATCATTTGAGTATATTACTTTATCACAAATATGAAAAAAACTGGGAGGCAAATATTTAGTACAGTTGGTTAAAATTGCGCATGCTTATTTCGCTGGATCTAAGCTCTTCTTATGAGATTTAGTTTTAAAATGGACGTGAACGATTCTTCTGAATATTTCTGTGTAAAACGTTTGAAAGTAAACAGTACAGGTCTTATTTACCATTTTTCTTCAATGTTAGTGTTATTAATCCCGTGACCGAGATTGGAATATTCGGCTTTAAAAAATAAGTTCTAATACTTTATATATAGAATACCATGAATATGTTATCAATATATCATTTCAATTACGAAGTTACACAAAAATATTTGATTAAAGGTATTTTCTTCAAAGATTTTCTTCGTTATCAGTTTACACATACGTATTCTATGGTAAACAAACACTTCATGATAATAATTTATTCATAATCATTGAATGTATGGTTCATGTGATATCTAATGATAATCAGACAACTTCATGTACAAAATTAGTCATCTACAGAGCATCAAATTGTAAACAGAATAGCACGCACCCAACTATTTATAACAAACAGTGGTAAAGAGGTTAAGTGTTGGCACGCAAGACTGATAGGTAGTGGATTGGAATCTTATGAGGCGGGATCGTGTGAGTGCACTGATGAGGAGTCTCATACTAGGAAGAAACGGCCGTTCACCTCTTCCATACTGGTCCAGCCTCAAATGACTCATGATCTCAACTACTGAAGTACATTTTACACAAATCTGTACTTGGTTATGGAGCTAAATATAACATTAAATTTTCAAACAGTAAGTTTTAGTTAATTATAAGTGTTTGAATTTTATTGTTGTTTGTATTAAAGACTATGATTCGTATACGCTCATTCAAGACAAATCACCTCGGCGTTATCATCTAGTGATAAGTTTTTAAAATGCTGGACAGTGGTTCCACGAAGCTCAGTTTGTCCTATTTAGGATCCGTTAATTGAATGTATCTCTTTCCCAGTGAGAACTGAGCACAAGACCTACGAGCTCAAACATCAATGCACTATTCACTAACTTAGTGAGTACAGGTAGCCACGAACCTGATCTGTGTGTCTGAATTCATTCATAAGTTATAAATACCGAGTTTGAATCTCAATCTGAACATCAGTACTTGTATGCAGGTACGTTCAGATAGATAATATTTGCATCATGGATTTCTCTGTCATCTATAACCCAGTTTTACGAGAATAAAACATATTTAGATATCACTGCATCTTTATATTACATTTTTAAACTGAATGATGCAACAAAAATGAATGAAAAAAAACTCACCGCCACCATTAGTAAAGCATACATATGGAAATCGCCAAACATTTGCTAAGTCAACTGCATAACCAAGTACTGATAGAAAAAAATCACACTGGTTATTCCACTCTTCCCTATGATCATCGTTATCATTATCGTTATCAACATTTAATTTTCCTGATCTAGTTGGTAAATCGGATATCTCAAATTTCATTTTTGAAGTATCATCGTTTACATGACAGTCTACAATGAATTTCTGTTTATCTGATTCATTGATAAATTCTAAAACAAAATTTTTAAATGATATGAAACAAATAAATGTTTGATTTAGTGAAAGCAAACTGTTCAAGAAAAATTATAAAATTCAGTGTCCAAGTGATTCACTTACATAGATATTACTTTTAAACAATGATAACAAGTGATGAGTAATAGAAGTGAAGATAGTGACGTTACCTGAAGTCTATGAACAACAGCAATGAACTATATGAGAAACGAAGATTTGTAGCAGAACTGATATCATTGGCTTCATATTTATTTGTTCACTACTTCACGAAATAATCTACAAGTTATAGCACTTAGTGCATCACAAAAAAAATTTTTAACAATAATATATTCGACCAGCTCTTAAATAATTGTATGTAAGAATTTATCGTAATCATTCTGTTTATCAGCTCTTACACAAAGAAAAACAATACACGAAGACAGAATTACCTGAATTTTCGTAAGACGATGATAGATGGTTTAAAGCTAGTTCATTTCCCGTGCACAGATGTATTACTGATGGAACATTAGATTCACATGAATTATCCATTAATTTAAATAATTTTTTTATCGTAAAAAACTTTCCTTAACATAACATTTGTTTTTTCTTAAAGTGAATGGTAATTATTTGTATAAGAATATAAAATTATTTCTTTTACACATCATAACCAATCGAATAATTTAAGTCCATTTAAACTTCTTACCGTGTTGTTTTGATATTAATATTCTTTTTTGGAAATGGATTACAACGAATCTTTATTATTCTAACGTGTTTGTTTAAGAAAGGTAATCAACCAATCAAATTAAGTGATTGTGTTTAATCTTTTATTTGCTTGTGCATATGAGTTCGGTTCTCAAGCGACCAATTTGTGAGCAAGTATGAACAGCTTGATCATATTGAGTACAGTATTAATTTCAACATACTCTGTTCATAAATTCAGGAAGGAGTACCTATATTCTTGAGAGGAATAATGCTTCATTCAGAATTTGAACCCGCTCCATACAGTTTAACAGTCTGAGATACTAAGCTAGAGACATTCTGAGTGAAGGTGACCTCTTGAAGAATTGAAATATTTATCCCACAGGGAGCATTGGTTCCTTCAAGATTGAAGATAATCCATTCTTCTGTGTGGTAACTCCAACGAAACTGATATAAAGCGCCAGTCAGCAGTAGCGAAAGCTCAATCGATGGCAATCAGAAGTGAATCAAGGGTCAAGTGCATTTCTTTGAGGTCAATCTCCTAAGGATAGAATGGTATATATATAAATGGTTATTTTTGCATTTTACTCGGTAGTCCAATACGCTTTCTCTCTCACTCTTGTGTTCTCACTCAAGTAGTCAGTTGGAAGGTTAGCACATAGCACACCATGTATCACTATCATATTTTGGACACCACACGTTACAACAGAAACACAGGTTGAAAGTTTTCTATCTGCTATCTCCAACCGACTGACATCTTAATATACTGCGTGTGATGTCAAGTCATCTTGATTAATGGCCACATTACAACTTGGTCGATGGAATTCGACCAGCACCAAAAGGACTAAACAAATAGTTTTTAATTACTCAGTGGTAAACCAACCGTCAATTCTTGAAATAATAACAGACAATTAAAATGAAATGATAATGTTGTAAGCAAGTTTCCTCGTGAAAGTGATCAGTGTTGGCTGACATTTTAAACAATAATCGGTAGGACTGCTAAGAAATGCTTATTCTAGCTGAAGAAAGACATTTTTAGCATGCAAAGTTCATATGTAAATGTTTCAAAACTGTTTCCTAAAACTTCAGTAATTTGTTTTCAATATTTTCAAATGATCAGAAAAGTGCTGTAGGCTTGCTAACTAATGCTTTATTAAGGTATCTTTAATCTCTAGTAATCTTTAGTTTAAACATAGACTCTAACCTTCACAATTCAAATTAAGATGTTACCGTCGCATTTGAGATGATTTTAAAATTAAGTTTCGTTTGTATGAAGTTATTTTGTTATTTGAAATTTCCCCGATTAAAGATGTGCAAACTTTCGTAGTTATTATGCTAATGTTAGACACAAAATATCATGTTATTTAGTCTTTGTTGTTGATTGAACTCTATTGATCAAAGTTTGTCTCATGACCATTCAAATGCATGGCTCAAAAGTCATAATGAATTGCTTTCATACTAAATGTATGTTGGCAGACATCAGGAATCAAATAATTTAGGGTTTCTTGCAGAGTAACACTTAATATATCATTTAGTGTAGCCATTACATATATCAGTAATGATCCATTTGAGAGGTAACTAATATCATGTAAGACTTAGTTGATTACAATCACCGATCAAAAGATAATAACCGACTTCATATAGTACAATTCTTAGTGCTAACTAAATTCTACTGATCAAGTTCTCAGTGCTACTAATAGACTCAGTAAAAGACCATAATATATATCTCCAATCGGTTATCTTTGAATTGCGCTAGTTATGTCAGGGGATATTTCACTTAAAGTCGGTATCATGAATTTACGAGTGAAATACGTATATACAATGGTAAGCATAAAAAAGTTGGAAGATGTAAGTGACATCTGATTTATCAGCAGTTATTCGTTTACTTCTTTTTTACGTTAGAGGTGAAACATAACTATTTCAGAATTTTATCCATATTTAGTTTTGGGTCATATCTGACATCTCACCAACCCCTTCGACACAACATCATCCAAATCTTTATGAATTTTTGAAAATATGATAAATAGTTTGTATCATACATTCAATGCTGGTTGATAGAGGAGAAGATTGAAAAGAAGTAGTCGTGGAAGCCTTGATTACTGATATAAATCATGTGAGCAGGTCTAGATTGAGATCCGATTAAAATTGGTCGCGATCTCACAACTGTATTCATTCTTCATTTTTTTCTTATATTTTGTGATAAATGTGATTTCCAATTATTTATTCCTCGATTCCATTCTCTCATCTCTAGATTTATTTTACAACTGATATTATTTTGTCTGCTCTGATTTTATTATTTTCAGTTTCGTCTTTCGTTATACTGATGACAACTTGGACTGAGGAACATTTATGTCGAATCCTACATTGATAATAACTGACTGCATATTTTTCATCACAGTGTTATTAGCTTACTACCTCTTTCTTTTTTAGTTGTCTGAGTAATAGTAAACCACACTAAATGCAGAGTTAGTCAAAGTAATGTACATAAAATGTGTTCAGATCATTGGAATTGGTATGTTGTGGCAAGTTTATTTGTTACATCAGAATATTTATCTGACTTAGATTCTGTTGTTCAAATTGTGCTTGGATCAAATGATATGGTCAGGAATTGTGACAAGATAGAATCTTCTTTAGCCAAAAATTAATCTGAACCAATTAAATTCAACACTGCTTATCATAATAATTCATCTGACACATTTCTAACAAGCAGAGTAATTTACTGTTCATATTTCGGTAGAATTGCGTTCTGTGAAGTGAATGTCTTCACTGTTAAACAACATAATCCGTTATGATATTTATCAACCCTCTCAAGTCATTTTAAGAAGTTCTTTTTCTACAGGCGAGACCTTCACATAATCTATATCTCCATATTCAGTTCTTCTTCAACAATTCATTTCAATAAGTCATTTTATTACTAAATATTTCATAGTATATCATTCCTTCATGTGAAAACATCTAGACAGTATTTGATCAGTAGTGTTCTTAAAAAACAATATCGAAAAAAGGAAATTTCACTATAGATTGAAAATGTAAAATAATTTTATGTAGTCAGTATTCACAACTAGCCATCATGAATTTAATTCTTATTGTCAAGGCAACCTTAAACTAAAGAGATAATTACAAGAAAACAAATGCTCCGTGCAAAGTGAAAATATTTGTTGTTTAGGTCTACAGTTATAATTCTTAGCTGTAGGTTAGTCACTATGCAAATGTTATATATATATATATATATATATATATATATATATATATATATATATATATATATGTAATGCAGTTGGCCATCCTAACTCTCCCAAGTCAAAAATTACAAACATAAAACATTCATGCTTACATGCATGTTCATGGGTTTTACATCTTGTACACTAGTTATTCACTAAGTGAGAATTTAAGTTCCGCCATGGTCCAAGAATATTAACCGATACATATAAATCAATGAGTTTGTTCATTTCTCTTAATGAACTTAGCACAATGTACCATACCATATGAATTAGAGAGTTTAAATCAATTGGTGAAAAACTTTTAAACATGATGTTGAATCATATTTCTAAAATGGATCTAATAATTTAGTTTACCCCATTTAACAGATAGTGAACGCTGACTATTAAGTTTGCCATCTCATTATTATCAGTACTGTGATTTTACAGAAGGTTAATTACCATTAAAAACAGTAGCTCAGTAATGCCAATTAGCATTTTCATTTCATTTATTAGAGGCATTCAAATCTTAGGTTGGTTTTATAAATATCTCCAAAATTGATAAGTAATGCAAAAGAGTTGGAAGTAAATTTGAGGGTTCCCTAACAATTGAATTCAACTGTCAAATGAAGCTGAATCATTTTAAACAATTATTTAACACTAATTGCAAACGGTGATAAAAATAACTTGAAAAACTGACTGAAACCCAATTAATTTACACATATTTATTAATTTCACTTGCTCTTTTGTATGTCATAAAAATGACTTCACAAAACAAATTTGAAATTATTCAGCTGTAAGTGACTTGAAGAGCATCAAAAGAGATAATAGAAATGAATTTATGCCTAATTTGGCCACTTAACAAATATATATATATATGAAAGATGGGGATGTTGTGTGAATGTGTATTGGGTGGATAATGGAAATCCAGTATATGTAACTTCAATGATTAGCTGATAGAGGGAGGTGATTTGATCAAAGTCAGTTTTGGAAATGGAAATAAAAACACTCATTACCGGTAACTGGTAAACCTCGTAGTTGGTTACACAGAATCAATAAGTCAAATTGCTTGCATGTATCAAACACCGGTTTATTTTTTCGCATTTATTAGTTTATCTAGATTTTTTAAACTTACAAATTAGTAGTTGTGGTTTATTTAAACAAATAAACTGAAATCAACAACCTGTTAGGGGTCACTATTTTAAGTAAATCGACATTTCGTTTGAGATAAGTCAGTTGACAGTAGTCGACAGGAAATCCTTGAACTAGGTTTCATTGTAGTTAATATTCATGAATAAAGTGTATCTGCAATATTGACGGAATTGGTGATCCCAGTAGGATTTTCAATTCGTGTCATTCAACGTTAAATTTAAACACATTATCACTGAAGTAAATGAGATGCAATCGCACTTTTCTAGAACAAGGAGAATAAAGATAGCAAAATGTATGTATTGGAAATTATTTAAAACTAGATTATTCTGTCTGGATATTCATACAAAAATATCAAAGAGTTTATAGTGTTGCAAACTATCTTTTTTAATGGTAAGGCGGTTAAGCTGCAAATTGATATGGGTTTGACATAACATTAATTTATAGAGAGACTTGTATAAAACTCGGTCGACCTCAATACCAACCTACACATTCTAATGCTAGGAGTGCGACAGGAACTAACATCACTCTTCTTGGAGAAATGAAGCTACCTCCCACATTCGGTGGCAAGACTATGACCGGCAAATGCTAAGCATCTGGAAACTGTGATACCAACTTATTAGGTATTGGTTGGATAGATAAATGTGGTTTGTGGGACCTGACGTTGAACACTGTCTGCAATATGATTAATTAGCTCAGCGAAGAGTTCTCTTTTCGGCGAATTCATTTTCAAAGCTGTACAATCGCAAATATCTATACTTATTTTACAGGATGATAATAATTCTGATAATAACCTTCTGTTAAGCATGGTGACAGTGAGGTTAAATAAACGAAGATATTAAAATAAAAAATTTTAAAAACAAAGAAAGTTTAATAATCGTTTGATTGTTATTGGCTTAGGTATTCATCAAAAGATAGATAAGGAAATTATTATTGGGAAAGGATGGCTCAGAATAATAAAATAAAATGTTGAAATAAAGATAAAATGTAATCGGAATGGTCGTGGAAATAAAAACAAACCAGTTGGGGGTAGAAGATTTAAAGGAAGATGGAAGGTGAAGCAGATGGCTGTAAAGAAACAAGAGTATGAAAAAGAGAGAAGAAAAATTTTAATACATTAAGACCATGGTAGAAGGAGAGGTTGTACCAGTCTCTTTTGCACACGCGATTCCGGTTTTTCCAGATGTATGGCTATTGCCTCGGCAATGCAAAGATGATGCAGTCTAGTTGTCTTCAGAAGACTTCTACTTACCTTGTAGATGACTTTGAACGCAGAGTCTGTCTTGATTGAGTGACCTGTGTTCACAAGGTGTTCGACTATAGAACTTCTTATTGAGCCGTTGCCTCCTCTTTTTAGCCACGCCGGATAATGTCCTTGAATTCTTTCGGATAAAGTACGCATCAAACGACCTATATACCTAGCTCCACTAGAGCAGGTAAATTGGTAAATGCACATAGAGTTGTTCAGATGCGATAATTTATCTTTCAGATTATTGATGAACATTGATCGGCTGAAGAATAATATTCTCAAAGTTGCTGTGAAGAATGTTCTTTTTAAGGAATCAGAAATTCTCCTCTTTAAGATATATATGGCTCTGTCACTTTTAAAGTCGATGTTCATATATAAAGTTTTGTTTTCTACTGTGATTATTTGTGTTTTTGGCGTTTTCGGATTCATATTCTTATCAATGAATATCGAAGGATACCCGTTTTTGACAAGTATCTCTTTTAAAAGACCCAATTCTTCGTCTACGATCTCGGGACTACAGATTCTTCGTATTCTTGTACGTATATTTTGTACAATCGTTGATCAAAACAGAAAAACAGAGAGATGCAGTGAAGAAAGCGAAGAGAAGTGAGCGAAGCGAAATGACACACAGTGGAGAACGCGTGTGACCCATCCCGATTTAATCAAGCGTTAATCAATATTTATAACCAGATAAAAATAAGCTACAGACGTGCGATTAGTAGGATAAGATGTACACACATACGCTCATCTAAAGACAGCCAAGGTCAAAATGTAACTTAAGAAGAATGGATAAATTGGTTTATCTATAAGCTAGAATGAGCTATGTAGGCTCGACATAGAACCAGACACTACAATTTCTTATGGGATACTTTGATCAGAATTGAAAATATGTCCCAATATTTGTCTAAGGTTTATTTGACATTCTTTTTCGAAAGCCACGTAGCGTGAGGCTTGGAGACGCGTTTATAGAGATCTAACTTTCTGCAGCCAGTATAATGTACTCCATATTGGTAATTAAACTTGTAAAAACAGATTGATGCGGACCAAGTAAGTAGTATATGGCTTATACATCCACAAATGATAGGACAAAAGGAGAAGTTTAACAGCATGAAATGCCTCTTGAAAGATTTCGTCAGCATATTTTTAATTAATCATAATTAACTATGATTTTCAGCAACTATTTTGGTGGTAAGACTCACAAACAGGATTGGATTATGGTCCCTCTCTGTCATTATTTACAAATTTTAACGATCTCCACGAATACTGCACTATAAAATGATGTGATTGACCATTTGCTTCGGTTGGAATTATTACACAAAACATTTGTGTATACATTACAAACCTACAACAAAATTGATATCTTATAAGAACTTTCGCTCAAAATTGGATAAATCGTTTCACAATAGTTGGGCCCCGGTTGTACGGAAGACGTTAGGAAGGGAATTATATTTGTAAAAATCTCAGTGACTAAAATTTGAGACAAATATAGCATTTTGTTTAGGATTCTGATTTGAGCCCTCTCAAGGAAACAGTCAAATTCAAATGTTTTGAATATACATAGGGTCTATGAAAAGTAACTGTGTACTAAATAGATGGTTTGATCACGTCTAAATAGTGATTTTGAAACTTATCATTTCAATTTTCAGTTTTGATTCCCAATATAAAGCTATCCTCAAAGTCCCATTTAGTCTCTCTCCCATACTAGAGTGTGGATTAATAATATTGAATTGCGGTTTTGTGTCATTCGATATGAAGTTAAGTTCATACTAAATTGTTTCCGTATTAGAATAATCTTATTCATTCGTAACATAGCAATTACCATGTGTTCAACCTAACCTCATTAACAATCGTAACCATTTATTGAGATTAAACAGGTGAATATTCGGTTTAATTGATTGAGTAATTTGTAAGTTTTGTCATGTTTTACTAATATTTTCCACGTTTCTGGAAAACGTTTCACGTAACATTTATAACTATGAATTTTTAACAAAATCATGGGTTGTTAACAACTACTTATACATAATAAACGTTTTGTGACTAGCCTCAGAACAGTGTTTTACCCATAAGAAAAGATGGTAATTAAAAACTGAAGGCATATGAAATGAGAAACGAAGAGAGATATTTTTTATCAAACTACCAAGCGTAGACAGTCCATGTGGAACAAATGCAATACATTTTTATTGACCACTAGGTAAATATTGATTTATCACTATTCGGTCATTTGTTTTTTCTATTGAAGTCAATTTACCAAGTATCCTTTACAATGAAATCAAACAATCGACCTTTACCTGGAAATGGTCTTTTCTTTTTAAATCCAAAAGTTAGGTTAAAGCAGTGTCGAAAAATTAGTCGATCAAATGCATTAAAACTTTGTATGCCTAAAATGTATACACGTCTTAGTTAGTCTTAGATGTCTTATTAAAACAATTTCAATTTGTATTCCGACATGCACGAGGTTATTATGCTTTCGACCCATGACTATCGAGTTTTGATCAGTACTGAAAAGGAGAATATGAACGTAATTTATTTCCAGTGATTATCTTAAATGGAATTCAAATAAAATGGATGTCATTTAGTTTGAGGATATATTTGGTACAATACTAGTATTTTATGAGACAAACAATGAATAATAATATGAGTATCAACGCGAAGGTTGGACTTGATAGTTTTAAATAAATTAAATTAATAATAAATGTATTTTTTGTCATATCTCAATGAGTAGAAGGTTTTATTACTGACGTTTCGTGACCTAATGTAAGCCACTTCTTCGGGATAAATAGACAACCTTTGTATTATTTAAACTTGTGTTAATTTTATTTCGATTATTTATTTACTCTGAAAAAGTGGCTTACATTAAGTCAGGAAATGTCAGAAATACAATTATTTACTCATGGGAATATAACAAAAATGTATTTATTATTTATGAATGATAATCTTTTTTCACAGTTTTTAGCGCATTACGAATTTGTTCAATTCACACTGAATTCATCTAGGATTCGTATTTTGTTTTAATCAACAATCTTTTTTCAAAAAAGTTAAATTTGGTGTTTATATATATAAGTAGTTATATTACATTTATTTTTGTTTATTAATTTTTTTAAAACTAGTTTTATTCATTCTTACTATATGTTAATTTTTTCTAAAAAGGAAGCATTTTGGGAGAAGAAGTTCTGGAAAACTTGAAACACATAATCGGAATTATAAATAAAATAACTTGCAAATTAGTGATTACATTTGGAACAAACTAATGACTGAGATAAAGAAACCATGAGATTAAATCTTGGTTCCATGAATTGAAATTTTCTCGAAAAGGGGACAATGAAAGATAATGTCACGAATGGTACCACTGACAGTAAATTGAAAGTGTTGTGTTCAATGAGTTGTATGACTTAGTTATAAACTTTTCAGTGTCTTTCTGGACAATAACATCAGCACATACTTTTGAAACAAGTTACACATTATAGAAGAATTTAATGATGAATAAAGCATCCAGTTCAATTGTACACATCACTCTAAATCTTCCTTCTGAGCTTGAAATTTTCTTCGTCATCACTAGGAGTAAATTCGTTACGACAAAACATTAACCAACACTTAATTCGTAACAATTTTCGCTTGAATTTAAGCAGTGATAACTGCAAAATAAAGTCCTTAACGGATATAATACTTCTGGAGATGCTTTGTTCAACTGAGATTTTTTAGAGATAATCTATATTTTTTAGGAAAAGAAAGTGAAAGTAAAACAAAGAAACAAAGTTGTAAAACACCCTGACTTATATCAATTTGAAATGGATTATTAATAAGAAATAGTTTAATTAGATATTAAAAATTTAAGCTATTGACAACTGAAGTAAATATCTCCGTACTTCTGTTTTTAATCCATAATGTTACGTCATCTGAGTGATCTTACAAGAAAGTTTATCACATTGTCCCATCAATCCATGTGAATTATGCAAGCGCTTATCAATTATAACTTTAAATCTGTTAAAGCCCATTAAGTAAAGCTGTATTTTTTGCTAAGCGAAAAATTTCCACAGCCATAGGTAAAGCGGTTTCTCGCAGCTAACTGAGAACTAGTTTACATGAAGTTTGGAACTGTGCTTAATATTCTGAAGGTGTAAAGCATCACATTCATTGTGAAACGTGTTGGTTTCGAGTCTAATTTTGTGTGTTTTGACGAGTGCTTATTGTTGAGGAGTCGAAAACAAAATAGAATTGGTGCCTATTGCCCACTTTATTTTCAACCGTATTTCAGTTAATATTCTTTTCGTGATGGGAACTATTTTCAAACTATGATAATTTCTACAAATAAAACTAACCAAAGAAAATTTTTGTTCTGCTAGATTTCTAAAGTAGTTATGCTGTTCTGTAAATAACAGTATTAAATATAACTAATATTTCATAAAATATATATTTAGTATGTCTATGATAAGTAATTATATATATCACTTGAGGGTCGTTCACGGAATCAGTCAGTGAGTAAACTTTTAACCAGTCCAAATTTAACTACTAATCACATTATCTGAGACTGTCCTTGGTAGCCTTTGAGATCAATATCAAGATGTCAATTTAAACAAAATTCATTTTGCTAAAATAACGAAACCATATACTAATTCGATCATACATATATGCCGAATTCCACGTCATACCATAAAGTCTATCGAAAAAATTCTATTTAACAAAATTTCAAATCCGTCATAATTCTGTAAGAGAAGTAGTTGGAGGCAGCGGGGAAATTCCTGAATCTAGTTTTCGTGTTGGTTAGGAATCATCGGCAAGAAATATCTTCAATATTTAGAGAACTCATATTCTCAGTGGGATTATAAATCATGTCACGCAGTTTCAAAACTTGTGTACTTACTACACACATATCCATGTTGTGACTAGCTCGAGTCGGAATCACACTGGAAGAATCACTTTCCTCAAGATCGAAAGTACAGCTTGCTTATGAGCGTCAACTAGCACGAAAACGGAGATTTAGAGTTTCTTGTCGATTATCATCAACCCCCTCACATCAAAATACAGTGTAAACAGTGTTAAGTCACTTAGACCAGTGACCAGTGATCTCGTATCTGTTATGGTTCACATTCGCTTTTGACCACGAACTACATCAGTGTGTACTTCTTGCAATTTCTCAACATCGACTATCCTAGATCGCAAAGAAAGTTGTTTAGATAATTGATATGAATGAACTGATTACATTAAAACCTACTAATTCTTTACGATTGGCAAATCGGACACTTTCTAACCACCAAGTTACAAATGGGTTTTTACATAGAGCACAAAATCCAGCTGTTTGCCATTGTTTTGATCCTATAATACTTTCTAACCAAGGATTGCTAACACCAATACTAAAAATATGAATAATACATTTTAGATAAAGTTCAATATTACTCAATAAATCCTAAACGGGATAATTTTCGTAAGACAATTTCCTATATGAAAAAATTTTTGCATCAAAATAAAGGGAATATCAAACAGTCTACTTTCAATGTTAAAACATTTTCTTTATACGTTGAAGTAAATAAATCGTTTCGTGTGAATGGATTAGCTTCAGCGTAGAATTCTTTTAATTTCAACTGTGTAAACTGGAATTATAGAAAAACAAAACATAATTTATTCAGACTGAACTTTGATTGAAGATTATTCGGGTTTGAAGTTAGCATTTATTATCATCAACCGACGTCATCTGGAGATTGATCAAGAACAAGTATATATGTGACAATTACTTCGTTGTCGGACTACTTAGAATTGTAGATTAATAACTCTACATAAAATCAAATCTAGGACATTCCGGGTTATGGAGAGCACAGTGCTTTCAAACCAGTGCAACGATTCATATTACCAACTTTTATCATTCCTCACTGAATGATGTTAAAGTAAAATTTTAGATTGACATAAGTTGAAAATTACTACCGTTTACTTCGACTTAGTCGTGAGAATAAATAGTGATTGTTCTGGATTCGATCCTATGATGCGTCATGGATTTAGACTTCGTAGAAGTTCAGTACTAAGATGAAACAGATATACTAATCTCGCTAACTGTTTGTAATTCTACAGCAGTTGTTGAATAGTAATAAAAGCGAATTTCATCATAAAGTGTAGTCTCATAAAATAACCCCCATTTTATAAAGTGACTTACGTTGGATGGTAAAAGTTGTAAGTTATTACCAGCTAAGTCTAAAACTGTTAGTGATTTCAGTTGCCCGAATGTCTAAAATCCAAATTCTCTAAATAAATATCACACTACTTACCTCAGGTAATCGTGTTAAAAAGTTCTTATGTAAAAGAAGTGTTTTCATATTTTGTAGTAGACCAAAATTAAATGGCAATGTCAAAATATGATTATAACCTAGATTTAAATATTCTAATTTGTTGAGCATTGAACACATTGACTCTGGTAGTGTAGTCAATTTATTATGAGAACTCGACAAGTATTTCAAATGGGCTAAACTAAACAAAGTAAATTAATGATATTTTTTATACTTGGATATTGAGTCATTTAGTGCATTAATGCAATTATGATTGAAATTTATGTATTCAAGATTAACCAACCGTTCTATAGAAAATTTAAGTTATTTAGTAGATATCAACTACCGAAAATTGTACTTGGAATAGATTGAAGTTGATTGCTATACATACTGATTGATTTGAGTGACGTCAATTCAAATACAGAATCAGGTATTGTTGTAAACCAGTTGTGACCTAAATTAATCGATTGTAGCTGATAAATAAATTAATAGAGAATATTAAACAATGAAAGGGACAAACTCACATGTTTTGGTAGAATTGGCAGATCAGATAAATTATTTGAACGTAGATCTAATATTACAAGCCAGTTAAGAAATTCAATGTTGTATGGTAAATGATAAAGTTTTTTATTACTTAAACTCAAACGTTTTTGTTGAGTTGTGATTGCGCGTAAAACAATTAAATCAACATTTTTCATGTCTATTTGAATAAACAAAACCATACCATCATTTAACGTACATTGAAACAGTATTTACAAAATCGTGAATTCACATGCTAGCTATTTGAGACAGTTTCAAATGTTATGCAATAATGATTATTTAATTAGGTTTAGCCATTATTTTCTCCTCATTTGAAATTGTCACAAATAAGAGTAAGAGTTTAAACTTTATAATAATTTCTGAATTGAGCATTTCATCTGATACTCGAAACACTTGATAATGAAAGGTGATGTGGTATTTGTGTGAACTAATGATTCCTTTGTACTTGATGACTGCTTGATTCCAAATTCCAAATGCAATACTTTCGCTCGTGAACAAGGAAGATGTTGACGATGTTAATATTGATCGGAAAAGAAGCATATAGCTTAATAAAAACTTTGGCATTTCCAGACAAGCCAATTCCGCTCCCTTATACAACTCTCAAGTAACTACTACCAGACCATGTAAAGTGTACAAATTTCGAATGCAGTAAAGGAGAAAATTTTCATAAAACGACTCATCAAGACATCAGGAATCTCACTACTCTAATACTTTGTCCCAGTCCAAAGCGTAATCTATGTTATTGATATAACGATTCATTGAGAAGTTGCGAATCAGGTCACGAAGATGAGCGCAAGTTTGGTAAATGCGTGTTCTGTGACAAGTTTCACCCATGTAATTCATGTGCGTTTTGTAATTCTAAATGCTTTAAATGTGGTGAGATTGGACACATTCAGTCGGTTTGTGATGCTATGGTTCACTTGACTGCAACTAATGCTAAAATTTGTAATTGCGATCCCGTTAATTTGGGTGTTACTAATGATCATTCATCTTTATCCACACTTCGAAAAGCGGTATAGAGTCACATGGCAGTCCAGAGTCAGATGAAACTCAGAATCATTGTGTTTCTAATCAACCAACTTATCAGATTTATCATGTTATTGTACCGGATATGGTTTTTCTCTAATGATTCACATATTTCTGACTAAATTTCTTACAAATCTGAGGAAAATACGTTGAATGAATCATATCATGATCGAAAACCTGATGCGGATTTGATAGATGCTGATTTTTGTAATGATCGATAATTGTTTAATGAAATTCTTAAATTTGAGGAAAATATTTCACAAAAATCAAATTCTGATTTCATATCAAATGTCATTTGTTCTCACAATGGATTTATCTCTAGTGATACCCCTAATGAATGTGACAAATATGTTCCGAATGAGTCGAATTCTAGTCACATTCCTGATGTTATTGTATCAGATGTTGGATATTCTCGCAGCCAATGTGTGTTGAGCAGAATCCCTAGTCAGTGGTTTGATGAATCAGAGGAAATAGCAAGTTTTCCTGAAGTAGTCAGAGAACCAGTTTCCTCAGATATGTAATAATGTAATAATTGAAGTGTGAGATATTTGAAGATAATTCAAATTAGGAACGTCAAATTGTTCATAACAATGTGACGTAAGAACCCAACATTATTTCGTGGAGGAGGATAGTGTTGGAAAGTCTATCATGCAAATTCTGGATATCTGTGGTTTCACTACACAACCGACATGGTGATTGTATACAATTCTAGGACACAGACGAGTCCGTTCGAATTTCAGTTATTAACTCTAATACTAATGAGTACATTCTAGGTAGTGTAGAGTCTATATCCAATACACTGCTGAACAGACATTGGATGAAATTAAGAAGACGTACAATCAGTTAAAGAAACTTAGATTCCAATTTAAGATGTGGCGGATGTGGTGTTTGTATGAACTAACGATTCCTTTGCAATTGATGACTGTTTGATTCCGAATTATAAATACAATACGTTTGTTCGTGCTCATATAGTTCTTCTTAGTTATTTCTGGGATTCTTAGTTTGTACTAGTATTTTAACTACTCCTAATCATCACAAATGGTATTTGATATTAATATGAATAAGGAATGGTTTAATTATTACTTACTTACTTTAAGTTGCATCTAACGTATTGACGTTACTATTAAATGATTATTCACTAGTTTTATAAATTTCAATAAATCAGTTTATTGATACTCACTGGTTAGTCGATAAACGACCTTAACCTTGTGATTATTGGAAACACATTTAGCTGGATATTTTAAAGTGCTGAACTTAATTTTTATTGATACTAGGTGAAGAGGGTATATCTCAATAAATAATGTTGGTAATAAAATATTTACTAAAAATGGTATCTAACAGCAACGTGTTTGATAGTAGTTATAGATGGTTGTGTGTAGTTTAATAATTAAACTAGGATGCAATCCCTGTCCACTATTTCCTAGTTTCAAATGTTTTCTTTTATAATTTGAATTCGATTTGAGGTGCAAAGGCTTTTTTGGGAATTACTTATGGAAACGTTCTCGACTTTCTTTGTATAATTGCACATATGTAAATATAAATAGCCTTACTAGACAAAGAGTGTAATTAAAATACCAAGTCTTAAGTTAAACGAAAGACACCTGCAGTAGTCCTCGTATATTTCTATGCAATCTATTTTAATAAACAACTTTATCCATTGACTCAGTCATTTTATCATGGCCAGGAAGTCTATGACCCTCCTGCGTGCCCGAGTTATCTGTGGTCTTGTTGACTATGTCCGTGTATTTTTTGTGTGCTTGGTCCGTATGTTTTCTAGCAAGACCTTTTCTACAGCACTGGGTTGCCAACCCCACGCTCAACCCTCCTCTTTTACCCTAGCTTGTGACCGGCAGAGAAGATCAACTAGACTGTTTTGTAGCAGTTGAATGTTGAAGATGATAATAATAAACATAAGTGGTGAGGATTAGATATTTTTTAATCGACACAAAATTACAGGACTTGTTAATAAAATCTAACAATCATAAAGTAGATGCTTAATTTGCAAAATGTCCACCAATTGTCTCAAAATGACTCAAACTTCATTGTTCTTGCATTTTCATACAAATTGCATCCTGTTTCCATTCTTTACTGTTCGATCCTCTTTTCTCCCTGCTGCCAGACCTTCTGTTCACGACTAACATCATATACTACTTATGTCAATATAAGTAACACACACCACACTATATAGTGTAGCATAGTATAGTATTGTTTTGTATTGTGTGTTGACAGACTTCAGTATTTCATAATATTTGAGTGCATATTAAAAGAAAACTCCGGTTTTAATATTAAAGTGAATGACACATTTGATTGCTGGGGCTTTCATGTCATACAGTATTGGAAATTATGATGAATAAATATAGAATGTCGGGAACTTCCATAGAAAACTGTGCAAACAGAACAAACGCGGGTGTGCGTATGTAATGTTATTGTGTCAACAAAACGATTTTCACTAGACTTCATACCGTATTTTTTATTGCTTCATAGAAAACGTCCAAGAAAGTACACAGCATTGTATAGTCTCTTTACGTAAGCACTTATTGTGTTCATAGATTATGGAAAACTGCAGTCGGAATCGACAATACCAGAGTGTTCGTTGAGGCTGTTTACCCTACCCACTCTTATTTGGCTTCGTTATAAACATCTTTTCGGAGACAGCGCTCTCATTGTTTGTATTTTTAGAGACTAATGTTCCACCAGATGACTCACTTGTTGAATTGCAACACATAGATGAGATAACCTTATTCGACGAAGTCTTACAAAATTCAGGGTCTCTCGATCAGTTCGAATAACACTGGTTAAATAATTAGGGCGCGTTTATCTCTCTAAATGCGTAATATTATTACAAGAATAATTTGCGTCAACACCAGAACTATAAATAGGGAGTGAAATGGCTGAATAAATGTACCACATGTGGCTTTTACAAAAAATTATTATCAGTTTCGTCATGACTGGGCGCCTAGTTCCAATCAAAACACAATACTTCAGTGTGTTCATTGTCTGTGAGATGTCACTGAGTCTGGTCAAGTCATACACCAGGCTAAGGCATTTCTAAGATGGGTGATGGATCACTGAACGCCGAACTGGATACTGGACATCATCATGACCAACGGAGATTATTCGTTGGCACGTCATGGACTGAGGCATGGAGCATTTGTCCAACTCTGTATTTCTATAATCTATTTTCATATTACATGATGTTGTCCCTGTTAGGCTACTTATTATAATATGTCACCAAGTGAGACGGTTGACATGTATCCCACTTTAGGATAAGCTTGGTTAAATTTCAACCACAAAGTGCGACTTCGAAGTAAACTAGGAGGAAACACCATACCCGACTAGACCAAGTAAACGGATCATCAATACAGGTTACCTACATTCACGATCTACATGTGCTTGTAGCAACCAAAGTTTTTGTAGGACCAGCAAAATGTCATTGCGTTCTAACCGAATCATGCGGCAGTCGGGTCACTGAATATCAAACAGTTCACCTATCCTCATCAAGGTCAAATACAACCCGTGTGCATCAGTTAATTGCATGTCATGAACTGGCCCATGCAGCAGTGGTCGCACTCCGCTCCTTGTAATACTCATATTAATATATTTCTGTAATACCGTCGTTTGTGTTGTACGTTTATGAAAGTAGCCATAGTACCTGGATACAATGAAGGTGTAATCCGCGTTAGGTGCTAACCATGAGGTATGACTTCGACGTTAGCTGATTGGTCTAACTTGAGTTAGCCTCCAATCATCCAACATCGATCACCTACGTTGATAGTCTAAAGTTTCTTCGAAGTACTGCTTGGGTATTTCGGGACCAAATCGTGGTCTATTTTGCAGTCAAACTTATCAGATTTCTCATGTTAGTTCACCAGATATCAGTTGTCTTAATGATGCACATATTTCTGATGAACTTCCCTATAAAAGTGAGGAAGATATGCCGAATGAATCAAATCATGAACACAAATCTGATAGGATTTTGTTAGATGCTGGTTTTCCTAATGATCCATTATTCACCAATGAAACTCTTAATGAATTTGAGGAAAATATTCCAGAAGTACCAAATCCTAACGATTTCATACCAAATGTTATTTGTTCTCATGATGCATTTGTTTCTTGTAGGAAACTCGTTCAA